AAGAAGTAATGTTGCGCGAGGCTACCTCGTTAATATTTATGCTTAACTGGGCATGCATTTATTTACTAAATTTGCACATTTGGCCCAAGATTTCAAGTGTAAAGCACCCATTGAAGGTTGCGTACATATTACTTGCAATGACCAATGATATTAACGTGTTCTATGGGGAGTTTAAAGAATTCCTTTTATGATACAGGATAAGCGACAGGGGGTAAAACCTGAGAAGAGATATAACTTTAAAAGTCAATAACGATATATTATCTGTTGTTGCTTTTGTCTAAATATTTTCTCGTCGACATTCATTTTTCAGACTCATTTCAAGGAGAGCTCTTCAAAATAAATGTGAAAAGGAATGAGTAACACCTCCTTTCGAACTTGAGACTTAAGTTGTTATTTAAAAAAAAAAATCTAAATAGGAAAAATAACTAAAGTGAGACTTATTGGCTACCTCAGATGTCGTATATGGTTTCACTTTAAAGACGCTCTCATAAGGCCGTAAAAATACCTTCTTATATTTAAAGCTTTGACAAGATGGCGGAGAATTATAAATGATTATATTCATTCTATAACAATAATTTGTGAATTTAGAATGATCATATATTTGACAGACGGTTCTGACCACACAATTTACACACACACACACACACACACACACACACACACACACACACACACACACACATATATATATATATAATTAAGTAATTCATCGAGTCTAGAAGAAACCTCAACAAAATGCAGAAAGCTCTGGACGGCCGTTTCGTCCTATATTTGGGACTCATCAGCAGTGCGCATCCACTACCGAGAATTGAAACCCGGTCAGTTAACATCATACCAACTGCTCCAACGGGCCTCTTTGACGAAGGGGTAGCGAATCAGACTCGATATAGCGCCGCTCGATCACATATTCCGTGGTGGAACTCATCCGAGTTTCGCTTTTACCCATAGGACTGTGCCCCCCCCCCCACGAGCCACGACTACTATCCCCAAGTCGCTTAGTCCAGAGCATTTGGAACAGTTGGTATGACGTTTGCCTGATAATGTAATTTCTATCACTTTTATATATATATATATATATATATATATATATATATATATATATATATATATATATTAGGGTTAGGATCTCAGACTGATGCCAAATGCTACTAGGCTGGCATCTCGCTCTCGCCCTTTCACTGTCGAAACTGTTAAATGTAGCCGTCTCTTCTACTCCGATAACTTCATGTCTCGCACCTCTCGCCTGTGGAACTCCCTCTACTCTTCCTGTTTCCCTGATAGCTATAATCTCCAACTATTCAAATGTAATGTCAATCGACGTCTCCAGATGCCCTGATCTATATCCCCTATCCTTCTCTTCATCCTTTCCTCTATCACTCCTATTTGCTCTCGCTACAACTCTCTGTAAGCCCTTGCATGCTTGTGGCTTCCCGCCTTGCTTGGGGTGAAAAAAAAATCGATCGGCTTTCGATTCTGGCTTGAAGCAATCGGATGTCTAATCACACTGATGAGCGAAACAGGCTTGTATGCGGATAACTATATATTTGAGCAGCAAACGTATCTTACTTTAAATATGAAGGACAAGGAAAATTTAATTAATTTTTATTTATTTTTCCAGCGTTGTTAGATTTTCAGTTTGGTGGGCGTGAGGGAGTACAGAAACTATCCATATCGTCCATTGTCCCAAGCACTTACGACCACTCCCTCAGGCATTTTCAAGGGTTTTTTTCATGTTTTGACTGCTTGGTATGCATTATTGGTGTGGTTTTGAATATTACTAGGAGCATTTATTCCAAGCCGTCTCATGTGAGCAACTTTCTATTTTTAAAAGGCTTTCAACACCCACAAAAATAATACATCCCATCAGCCCCCCTCCCACCAAACGAACAAATGTAAGAACCCTGGAAAAACAATACATATATATATATATATATATATATATATATATTATGAAATGGACAAAGTCCAACAATTATTTTAAGACATTTTTATGTTTATACATTCTTTTTATTGATACAAATATTTAAGTAAATGCTCTGTTTATAATAGACAGTATTAAAACAACATTTACCGGCCTGAATAAACATAAAAATGTCTTAAAATAATTGTCGGACTTTGTCCACTTCATAATGTGTGACGTCATTTGTTTGCATTTGATTCGCCATAAGCAGATATGAATGTCCATGAATAGAATCATGGAATATTGATGTTTAAAGACAGTAAAATCGACCTTGCTAACCGAACGCTCCACTGTGACCCAATCGGTTAAAGACACGGTTCTGTATAGGATACAGGTTCGATTCCTGTCAGAGGACGAATATTTTCTATGAAAGATTCTCGGACATTCAGGCCGTTAAATGTTGTTTAATATTGTTTATTATAAACACAGCATTTACTTATATATTTGTATCTATAAAAAAGAATGTATAAACATTATACCGTATACATTTATTCCGTATATATATATATATATATATATATATATATATATATATATATATATATATATACCAGGTGTAACAGCAAAATTGTCCAAATCCCCAAAATATATAAAAAAAACACTAAACTGAGTTTCTTGTTTACAGATAAGCCGTTTAGTCATCTTGTCACCATCTGTCAAAAATCACTAAAATACTCTTTGAGTTATTCGGCTAGAAAGCTTTGAGTTATTCGGCTAGATTCGTTTTATGTTAGACTCACTATGTCTTCCCAACTAAGTAATTGTATCAACATTCATACTCTGCCTTCCATCTACAAAGAATTAAGAGAACGGTGAATATGTTTTAAAAAGAGGGAGCAATAGAAATAAAAACTGGATTAGGAGGTCACAACAGAAAGAGGGATCATCATTTCAACAGAGCGAAAGTGTTCAATTAGAAAAGATCCAACTCAATCCATAGAACGTGAGACCACTGAGGCACCTTTTTGCTCCAGGACAGAAGTTTAGAAGATTAGAGGGCGAAGATGATAAGTAGGAAAATGTTCCTGGAATAGCATATATATATATATATATATATATATATATATATATATATATATATATGAAGTTTATATCAATCCTTCGTGGCCTTCCAATCACTATCTATGATTAATCAATGATGAACAGGTCATTTTCATTTATGATCGATTTCATCACGATTTTTCTGTTAAGCTCGGAGAGTAATTATAAATTGTTATTGCTCAAAGTAGAGTCCAATAATGTTATAAAAAAGCCCGGAAAATTCAGTAAGATATCTTTAATCATTTCTAAGATACAACAGTTCAAAGCTTAATCTAACAACCAGACAATTTTTGCTGATACACCCCGATATATATATATATATATATATATATATATGTGTGTGTGTGTGTGTGTGTGTGTGTGTGTGTGTGTGTGTAAAGTTTGCGATCAAATACAGACCAAATATGTTTATTTAATAAAATAGAATTATCTGTGGCACAAGGTCAAAGGGAGGACAGCGATTATATATATATATATATATATATATATATATATATATATATATATATATATATATATTAAAAGGATTAGAGATACCGCAAACGTTTTTGATTGTAATGTGGATTTTAAAAAAAATGTTATGCTTTATTTTCCATAATTTTACTACAACCGTTTCTGGTCTCGCGACCGTCATCAGGTAAAGGGTGGAGATTTCCACATATTTTTAAAATAATTAATTTTTCCTCCTTTATGTTTTTCAATGTTAAATATTCTGGATATGAGACATTCTCTTTCTATGTGTTAGTAATCCGAATGTCTATATATATATATATATATATATATATATATATAATTTGTCACTTAGCTCACTGGTGTTATCATCAGAATCCAGACTCTAGAATTTCATACACAGACTCTTCAGCAAACACTCCGTCCACTCGTCAGCGGATATCAGCAATTGCCTGTTTATATTTATCGTTTTTCTTTCATATATGTGCTTTTCATTAGTGCAGGGTAGAGTTTTTTCTTTCCTGGTGCACACGCATTGTGTCTGTTCGTGCGTTTGCGTGGGCGTCCTTCACTTCGTGTATGTACGTACATGTAGAATGTCGTGGTTATTTTTCTTTTAGTTTTTAGAATTTACGATATTTATACATGGCCAGAGCACAGCATTGAAAACAGAGCATGGATACAGATAGAGAGTGTGGTCATAGGAATCAACACTGTATGGTGACTGTCAGTTTAATGTCTCATTGCGATCTTTAGTCGGTCGTGATAGTACTGAGGTGTGATACCGACAATTATATTACAGCTTTGATTACTCTGACTGGTAGTTTCGTCCAATGTGGACTTTATCAAAGCAAAATACGAAAATAAAATTAATTGAATAAAATAACTAATAAAAACAAAAACAGAATGTACCTAGCAACTGGAATGTAGAGGAACGCTATTTTCATATTTTTAACTGAAAAATAACGTCAGTATTTGTCACGTGTGGAGAATATTGTCATTATAACTGTGTTGATGTATTCAACCATTTTCTTTTGATTTTATGAATCTGTTGTGTATATTTGTTTGCAAGAGCAGTAATTTTGTTAAGAAAGGTGAAATGGGGAAAAAACCCAGAAGGAAAATTCTGGAGAGTGCCGCCATAGAAAATTACCAAAATATTAATCTACGGTTTTTTCCCCATTTGTAAGAGCAGTAATTTTGTTACGAAAGGTGAATTACCAGTTTTCCTATTGTCATTTTCATTCATTATATATATATATATATATATATATATATATATATATATATATATATATATATATATATCGTTAAAATATACAGTAGTTCGCTGCTACTAACAAGCAGGATTTTTTTTTCCCTGGTGATGGCCATGCTGCCCAAAACTAGTCGAGGAACGTATTTGAAATTTTTATTATTCAAAACATATATATATATATATATATATATATATATATATATATATATATATATGTATGTATGTATGTGTGTGTCTTATACCTTGTTCCGTTATTTGGGGAGAACGTCAGGTCAACGGTGTTCTTAGATTTCTATCGCATCTTAATTTTGAAAGTCACGAATCCTTCCTTGTAAAAGACGATTTAGTGACTGAATTCATCGAAGTTTCGTGCGTCGATGGCAGGGGAAAAAAAGACAGCGAAAAAAGGTAATGTAAATCTCAGATCAAAGATCAGCTAAACTTATCGTTAAACGGAAAACAAACCTAGCGTAGAAATCCCATTACAACCTGGCCTCACCCCCTCTTATTTTCTCTAGAAGACCCCTACGTGTATTATAGGCACCCAGAATACACCCAGAATCTACAAGGAATTGTTTTTATTATATTGAACTTTCTTCTTCTTCTTCTTCTTCTTCTTCTTCTTCTTCTTCTTCTTCTCCCCCTCCTCTTTCTCCACCTACTCCACTCTCTTCACCTACTCCTCCCTCTTCTTCTTCTTCACCTCCTCCCCCTTCTTTCCACCTCTTTATCCCCTTCTTCTGTACCTCCCCATTCTTCTTCTTCTTCTTCACTTACTCCTCCCCTTCTTCTACACCTCCTCCTTCTCCCCCTCCCTTTCTTGTTCTTGTTCTTCTTCCATCACGTTGAAAACACCGGTTTCCGTATGATCACCGAAGTTAAGCAACGTTAAACCTGGTCAGTACCTGGATGGTTGACCGCTTGGTAACACCAGGTGCTGCCAACATAGATGTGCGTGTGGTGCAAGGGATAATTGCTCGGAATTGTTAATCGGAGAGCCGAGTTCCAATTCCAGTCGGGTTCGTTATATCGACATACGCGCAAATACCCTTGGCAAAGGTATGAATCCACAACTTTCCCCAGATATGGGTTAATTAGTAAAAATGTAGCAATGACTATTCTCTCAAAATAACATTTCTTACAATTTAAAAATATTTTCTGGCTTTAAATAACCTGCAATGTGTTGATAAGCTGAGGAATCTGTCATTCGATCAGGCCGTGTCCTTTCAATTTAGTGATTCTGGCTCTCCACGCCTTCTAATCCCTCTGCGTTTCTCACTTTGCCAAGCCTCCTGCCCACCCTACCGACATCCATTCACCCAAGTTTGAAATGTACGTAGTTCGCCGCTTTATATATATATATATCTTTCTCTCTCACTCACTCTATCTCTATCTTTAACTCTCACTCACTCTCTCACTCACTCTATCTCACCCTCTCTCTCTCTCTCTATCTTTCTCTCTCACTCACTCTATCTCACCCTCTCTCTCTCTCTCTATCTTTCTCTCTCACTCACTCTCTCACTCACTCTATCTCACCCTCTCTATATCTTTCTCTCTCACTCACTCTATCTTACCCTCTCTCTCTATATATCTTTCTCTCTCACTCACTCTCTCACTCACTCTATCTCACCCTCTCTATGTATATCTTTCTCTCTCACTCACTCTCTCACTCACTCTATCTCACCCTCTCTATGTATATCTTTCTCTCTCACTCACTCTCTCACTCACTCTCTCACCCTCTCTCTCTCTATCTTTCTCTCTCACTCACTCTCTCACTCACTCTACCTCACCCTCTCTCTCTCTATCTTTCTCTCTCACTCACTCTACCTCACCCTCTCTCTCTCTATCTTTCTCTCTCACTCACTCTCTCACTCACTCTATCTCACCCTCTCTTTCTCTCTCTTGTCCATAATATGCCCTGGGGTGTCAAATTCTCCAAGACTTTCCTCCTCATTTTGACATCTCAACTGTCCCTTTCTGATTCGGAGTATAACCGTTCTTTTTATTACCATTTTCTTTAAGATTTCCTCGGTGCTTACTCACTCCGTCCATGGAATTCTCAGCATCCTTCTGTAGAATCCCATTTCTGCTGCCTCCGGTTTTCTCTTCATCTGTGAGGTGATTATCATACAAGAGGACTGATATCACATAGCCGTTCAAAATATGTTGTCCTATTGTCGAAGATACAAAGTGGCCCACTTATGGACTTATCACCCTAGAGTGCTGTCCATGTTCTGGGTAATACAGAGAACATTTTGAGCCCCTTTCACACCTGTATCCGGGATGGGGGACTTCCGACTCTTGGAAAAAGAAATGAAAGCTGAAATTCAAATCGTAAATATAATAATATCCTGAATATTTGAAGAAAACATTGGTTGGTTAATAACAATTTTATTAGTATTACCCGACTATTTACTCACAAAATAATAAAATCTTACCACACACACGCACTTGTGTGTATTCTTACATGTGTGGACACCTACAATCAGGTATGTACATACACGCACACGACTACATATGTACACAGAATGAGTGGCAGATAAAGTGTTAGATAGGAAAAAATGAAATTCTCAGGTAGATGAATAAATATAAGTATGCAAGGATAACTATCAATAGACTGAAGTTGAATAGAATATAGATAGATAGATAGATAGATAGATAGATAGATAGATAGATAGATAGATATGAACAGACTGAAATAGATAGATAGATAGATATGAAACAGACTAAGATAGATAGATAGATAGATAGATAGATAGATAGATAGATAGATAGATAAGAAAAGTGTGACAGATAAAAATGTGATAGATATGAGAAGGCTGAACTAGCTAGCGAGATATATAGAGAAGAAGGATGAGATAGATAGATAGATAGATAGATACGAACAGATTATGATAGATAGATAGATAGATAGATAGATAGATAGATAGATAGATAGATGAGAAAAGTGTGATAGATAAGAAAACTGTGATACATATGAGAAGGCTGAACAAGCTAGCTAGATATATAGATAAGAAGGTTGAGATAGATAGATAGATAGATTGATAGATAGATATGAACAGATTGAGATAGATAGATAGATAGATAGATAGATATGAACAGACTAAAGAAGATAGATAGATGGGAACAGACTGAAATAGATAGATAGATAGATAGATAGATAAGAAGGGTGAGATAGATAGATAGATAGATAAATAGATAGATAGATAAGAAAGCTGAGAGAGATAGACAGGCAGATAGATAGGAAACCTTTGATAGAAAGAGCATAGATTGAGATAGAAAGAGAGATATGAATGTATATAGATAAGAAGGCTGAGGCAGATAGATAAAAAGGCTGACATAGAGATAGATAAAAAATTTGATTGATATATATATATATATATATATATATATATATATAATTATTTATTTAAAATATTTTAAATAAATAATTATATTTATGCTCTACTTTTGTATCGAGTACTATTTTTTTAAAATAATAACAAAAATACTAAAGAACTTTGGATTATTTACCTAACGAGTTTTTTCCTATTTTCTATATATTTTTACACACACACACACACACACACACACACACACACATATATATATATATATATAAGTTCTGAGGTACATATATACGAAAAGGCTGAGATAGTGAGATATCTAGCTAGATATGAAGGCTGAGATAAATAAATAGATAGATATAAAAAGACTTATTCTTAATTGAAAAACTAATTTTAATTATATTTTTTCAAATTATACACAAACGCACCCGCACACATCTTTATATTTCACTTAATTTGAATAATTCTATGTAATTTATTCTCTGCGTTTTTTTTTTTCGTTTCTTTTTAATGTTCAGGTTTGACAAGATTGATTGTCAAATACTGACGAACACACAGACACACACGTATATATTTTCACTATTGAATTTTTTATGACTCACAGATGGCATATTGGCATTTTTTTCAAATTTTAAACCTGCGAGTTTCTCGCTGTGCCTACATCGACTTAGTGTACGTCGTTATTTTATCTACCCTTCAAAAAAAAAAAAAAGAGTGGGAAATTCCTATCATTAGATATTGGTGTGTTCACACCCATTCGAATACAGCCTTTACCTTCTTTTTAAAGAGAGATTTATAATTGAAATTAACGTATAAAAAAGTATATTTTCCAAAGAAGGTTAGATGATTTATCAAGAAATCAAGGTTATCAAGAAAAATAAATATTGTCCCGGAATCAAATTTAAATTAATATTTTTTGCTTAGTATTCAAAATAAATTGTAAAATATAAAACTGCGTTTCAGGTATTATTTGCAGGTATAGCGTTACTGTGTATTTATATATTCGTATATTTATAAAAATATGACAAACAGGAAAGGATTTTTTGACGCGTGTCGCAAAAAAAAAATCTTTCCAGTTTATCATATTATTCTAAATACTGTTTGCTGATATAAAATTATACAAAATTATATATATATATATATATATATATATATATATATATATATATATATATATATTTTAAGCATTTCACCCCAAGCAAGCCGGGAAGCCACTAGGACGCAAGGTTTACAGAAAATTTAGAGCAAGATCAGATAGGAGTGATAGAAGAAAGGATGAGGAGAAGGGTAGTGGATAGATCAAGGCAACTGGAGATGTCGATTGACTTTACACCTGAATAGCTGGAGATTATAGCTCACAGGGAAACAGGAATAGGGAAGGGAGTTCCACAGGCAAGAGGTGCGAAACATGAAGCTATTGGAGTAGAAGAGACGGCTACATTTAGGAGTTTCTACAGTGAAGGGGTGAGAGCGGGATGCCAGCCTCGTAAGGCGCTTGAACTCATGAAGTCTGGGAACCAGTGAATGCAGCTCCTCGGAGCAATTTCCATGGAAGTATTTGTAGAACAGACAGAGGGAGGCGACGGCGCGTCTGTGAGAAAGTGACTGTAGACGAGACGCCAGGGCAGGGCCGACCATATTGCATATCCGCCTCTGGGGCCTATCAAGAACCCCGAGGCAGACAGAAGGGGCACCAGACCATATATGGCAGCAATACATATATATATATATATATATATGTGTGTGTGTGTGTGTTTCAATAAGGTGTATTTCGGCAGAAACAATTAGCACAATTAAGAATTAGTTGTTTTGTGTTGTTCGTAAATTTGTCAAAGTACATATTTATTCTCATATTATTTTCTTCACTAGTATTTTGAATATTGCAACATTCGTTTACAAAGTATTACACTTTGTAGATTTAGGCAAAGGTCCTTAATTTAGTCACTTCCGACGTTTAATGGAACC